GGTCTGTTCCAAAAAGGTCTTTTTGGACTTAGAATGAAACCGCATTGCTCATTTCTGCACTAATATCAGTAAAGCTCTTTTTCTCCGTTTCCTATCTCTCTACCACTGAAACTGTAGTTAGGCCGAACTTAGTTTAACAGATATATCACACTTTCACATATCAACTACATAAATTGTAGAGATAAATGAGAAAATACAGTTTTTTTTCTATTTCCGACAGTACTAAAGTGTACTTTTATATCACTTAATCCCTTATCTAGCTGTAGCCTTGATGATATACACTATGTATAGTCTACCAGTATGTAGAGAAGAGGTTGCTTGGTAGCCAAGTAACGGTAGTATGTGGACTGCTCATATCACTGAAAACCAAGTTTGGCTCCTCACAGAGTGTGAAACATGGTATTGCAACCCCCCGCTTTGATTTATATATGATAATAAAAGTAGTAAATATGTTATAAATATTCCATTCTTTAGCGGGGGACATTGCCGTATCAGTGGCAAACACTTGTTCTCCTTGAATTGTCTCATATGAAGTCATTTCTTGTTACACTTGCTTTGATTTACTGGAATATTGCTTTTAGTGCTAAATAAACTGTACTCAGTGGATCAAAACTATAAGAAATAATAGTACGGAAGAAATGAAACATATAGGGTTGTTCAAGAAATAAATATTATGGAACAAGTTAGGCAAGACTTGATCATTCCATTAGGCTTAGTTTACCATATATTGATCTACCTTTATATGAATACAGGCATTGTTTTGTATTGATGTGTGGACTCGCATAAAATACAATACTAGATACACATAAAAGTAAGTTTCTATACAGTCGAGCACTGTTGTGTCGAACTCTGATAACTCGATATCTCGGTTGTCTCGATTTAACATCTGAGTCTTGGCAAAATCCTCCATAATTTATCATTATTCAAGCTCTTTTAACTTGATACGGATGTCTCTATATTTTGGATATCTCGTTTTAATTTCATGGTCCCAACAAGCAAAGAACAACAACAAGCGATATTAGCAAAGCAATTCAATATTCACCTACCTTTCATGGGCAAGTATCCCTCCGAACTGATGCTGTTTACACACGGTGCGGCATGAATCAAAGGGATGCGGTAGTGTAAACTAATTAGGGCTAATTGAGTTGAAGATGTCACTTGTTTGTTATCTAATTAGGATTAACTAAGAATGAATTAATTAGGAAGTACTCACTGTTACGAATAAATACTACTGACAACGGATTATAGTTTCGAATCAAAACACGCTGAGAAGTTTGGAAGGCTCAATAGTTTTTCTTGGTCCCATGAGTATCAAGACAACGGTGCTCAACTGTATATTCCTGACAATCATAGGTATGCATACTTTTTTTTGTATGTATCTGTTTTCCCTATTCTTCCCCTTTTTTATAAATATTTTGTATATATTTTCATGATGCATAAGCGCGTGGCGTCAATTTTCTAATTTACTGCTATGTAAAGCAAACGATCTGCATTTAAGCAATCCAGACACGATTGGTGATTGAAATGAAATGATGTATTTTAGTTTATTGACGAGGGATAGACGACTCATCTCAAGTGGTAACCAATGAAAAATATACCGTTAAAACACAAGTCATGTACTAAAAACACATTACGAAGTCTCTACGATTGGCCGAAAATTGAAATTACCTATGAAAATATTAACCATAAAAAAATCAAAACTTAATTCAATAACATATGATTTCCTCTATATGATTTTCTTTAAAGGTCACATGCAACGTAAAACACAACTTTGCAGATTCTGATACCTTTCGGTATGGACATACCGAAATAAATCGTCAAAATGCAAATTCATCTTATAAAGTTGAAAAATAACGCGATGAAAAAAAACGCGAGAAATCGGAGTTCAAACGTTTCACTAATTTTCCCCAGACTTTTCTGGGGAAAACGGGTTTCAACAGCTGGGCTGCGCTCATAGCACGTGCGCAAGTAAATAGGTTCGCGCAGCTTGGAAGTGGGTTGTCGGGTGAATACTCGGTGAAGGCTTTGGTGTCAGCTATGTTTTGTTGATATCTCACAGGCGCGAGCTTTTTATATGTTATGACAGTAAATTAACTGTTTATATCATTTCATTTGTCTATTTCACCACACGTTCTTCTTACCGAGACACTTTCTCAGTTCGATACTTAAAAGCAATGTCATTATTTATCGTTGACAGAATTTCTAACTGTGATATAGATATGTCGTTGTCACAGACAAAACTCAATGTCTTGTTTTAATGACACCTGTGTGTCTGCCTGCCTGTCTGCTAATGACAATATTCAATACACAGCTGCTATCACTGACCACTGCAATTTGAACTTAACACCAATCAGGCTATACACCATAAATAAAATGCATTGATTTATGGCCCGAGTTTGGTCTCTGTCACATTATGTAATTACACAGACAGGCAGGTGTGATACTTGAACACATGACATGTTATGATGTCTGTTGATTGCAAAATGTTATACACAAAAAATGAGCATGTATTTACAAAACCCAACATCTCTCTCTCTATATATATACACACACAATGACCCGTGAAGGCATCTGCAAATGAACCAGCCGTTACACTTGAGTGCACACCCACCCGCTCTGACTGGGTTCGGTATCCCGGCTGCTTCGTTTCTTTGGAAGTAAACCGAAGTACACAATATTGCACTTTTGATTTGCGATTGTACGCTTATAACTTTGTTTATATGTTTTTTCATAACCAGCAATGTATATTATATGTCATGAATAAGTGATAATCGTGTTTTAATTATGTTTGATTTTTTGGTTGCATGTGACCTTTCAGGATTTACTTTTTTAAGTTGAAGTGAAATTTTGATAGTTTATATTTGTAGCATGTCGGACTCCTCCATGGTAAGTTAGTGCAGAATGAATTAGAAGAGAGGCTTGGGACTAGATTTTATAGCACAGGTATTATATGTAGCATGTAAAATCCACACAATGGAAAATGAGCGAATATCAAAATTCAGATCATTCCCGCAGTATGTATGTATACTACTCAAAGTTAAGGAACACCTGATTTGTGGCATAGCAGATTAACTACGGTAATATAAATGAAATTGATGTTCTTTAACTGGTTTTGAGTAGTATGTGTCAAGTAGAATGTCTGTTTTGTGTGTTAGTCTGAAAGATTAAAGATAGAAAGATTTATCCCAGTCGGTTAGTTGGTGAGGGACTATGGGTGTTGAAGGAATGGGAGCTAGCTAACAACAAAATGAATATTTTTTAACCAAGCAATCGATCATGTTTTTGCATAATCGAACACAAACAATTTTTGGTCACTTGTTTGCAGTAACAATATTTTTTTACAAGGCTGGTTGTGTCTGTTACGTTTCATAAGCACTACAAGCTTGTTCTAAGTCATGCTTGAAATGCATTTTTTGAAATTTGCACCAAAAACTCTGAAAAAACTACATGTTTTTTCTTTATTTTTTGTGCATTAACAAACATAACCAGGAACATTTGATGCATGACGCTAACCAATATCGCTTGTAATGGACCAACCATCAATTATGAGATTTTAACTCATTCCTAACACTAGCGTGCATGTGTATGTTACCATTCCTTGACATTTGTCATTCCGTGTTATAACGTCTTTAACACTGTTTCTGTTTGTTGTTTGTGTCACAATAACTTTTGCCTTTGAGTATACATTCAAATAGAGGTATGTCATATATTTGGTTTGAAAGATAAACCAGAGCTCAAGATAAGCTTTTGGCCATGTGGGTATGATACCCATACGTTTGAAACTAAGTGGGTATTTCTAATTTCAAGTGGGTATGTATACTTTTTTATACCCACCATCTTTTTAAAATCCGGGTATTCATTTCAAATGCGAATAACAGGTGCAACATTTTTATTCAATAATAAAATATGCCAAAATCCTCCCAACAATGCTAAATTAAAGCTAATAGCTAATACAGCTTTATCTACTCTTGCTGTAAGAAATAATATGTGCCTTAGTCTACATCTGTTTTGGTGTAAACAAGATCTCAAGATGGCTATTAGATGATAATAACAGCCATGTTTTCACTGTAACAGATATATTTTTTTAAAAACCTTGTCCCCACCGTGTTGTTGAACTTTCACACCGCGAATAGCTAATGTTACAAGTTCATCTATAATATTACCGGCAATTGATTCTGATTGTGAAACACAGGACTTGCGTATTAATTCATCCAGCAGTCCCACGAATTAAATTGTTTTCTGTTTGTAAAGCGTAAAAAATATATATATTTTACTTTGAGCGTGTGGAAGCTTTCGACAAAACTTGCTCACCATTATCGATTTGTTTGCAGAAAGAAAACAGATATTTGATTGGTTGCAATTAATAGATGGACCAATCAGTGAAGGGTTAAGAAACTGCGATTGGTAGTCTATCTCTGTTGCATATTTAATTTGCATTTAGAATTATTCAAGATGTTTTGAATTGTGAATATTTAGAGATGGAAAAAAAACTGTAAGTTTAAGCTTAAATGATGCGATACGCAACATGATTTTGATGTATTGAGTAAATATACATTGTTATTTTGACATAGAGTAAACGTAAATATTTAGTGCTTTTTCATACGCTGGCAATTATTTTTCTTGCGTATTTCAACTTTTCTTTAGCGTATTTTACGCAAATACGCAGCTTATCTGGAGCTCTGGATAAACTGCACAAGACAACAATCATAACAGATAAATAGAGATAGACATTACATGTTGCTATATAATGGCGTGGATATAGGCAGCAGTTTCTGTAACGTCACCAAACATTATTCGTTCATTGTTACGTTGTTCGTTGTTGAATGCATTGTTTCAGTGCAAGCATTTGTTCAAGATGTCTTTAACAATTTCAACAACTTGTATGCTATTATAAAGAATAACCTTCTTGCAGCTTGAATTACAGATTAAATTTGAATCAGTTTTGAGGCTGCAGACTTGCAATTTAAAGAATTTATTCGCATATAATCTGTAATTCACAAATGCTTGTAGAATATTCTCTAAATATTGGTGGGTCAGGTAAGTTGACCATAATCTTTCTAATGAAGTTAAGGGCTATGGGGTAGCATAGTGGTTAAAGTTAAAACAGTGTTATATCAATAGTTTGATCCAAAAATTAATCTGTAAAAAGATTCTAGGGGGGCAGCTGCCCCCCCTGCCCCCTGGGCTCCCTAAGGCCCTGGAACTGTTCATAAGAGGGTGGGTGGGGGATTGGAAGTAGATGATGATCTTTATTGAGGAGCAAGTACTAATGTGAATGACCCTCCCTAGAATTTATGTACAAAGTAATTGACCCCTCTTGCATGTCATGTACAAATCAATGCTGCACCCCCTTCCCATGATTCCCATAATTATTGCATGACACAAAATTGCTGACACACCCCACCCCCAAGTCACCCCCCTATTATAATAATAAGCATGATGAGATCTGTATCACTACATGAAGAAAACACGTTACAATGTTATAAGATCCCTCTTCGACACAGGATTCAGTAAACATTTGATGTGTTACACTGAAGCAATCTGTATCTTACACATTGTATCTGACACATAAAGTAACCCACTTTATGAAACATTACTATATTCCCCCAAAAATAGGATATTTTTCATATTCATAAAAGTACAATTAATGGTGATAATCAATGTATTAATGTGCTGTAATCACATTTTCTTCAGGTGCATGTGCTGGAAAGTGTGACTATGGTCCACAGTGTGAAAGACCTTGCCCCTCTGGGTGTCAGCACCACCTCCCAAAGCCACACCCCACCACTGCAAGTCCATTTTCCACGACAAAAGTACCACAAGATGATCCTGTCTTCAGTACCACCAGTGCACCAAGTCCTCTGGAAAGATTCCTAAAGACCAAGGTTTCTTACCCAAAAACAACAACTTACCCTCCCATCCCTCCATACCCGACCTCTGTCCGCCCATGTCACCCAGACACAGGTGCCTGTCTCAGTGGCTGTGTGAAGGGAAGGTACGGCAGTTTGTGCCAGCACTCATGCAGCTCCAACTGTTCAGAGCAAGACTGCCTTCAGTCAGGAGAGTGTGTCAGTGGATGCAGACGTGGATCGTACGGAGACACGTGCAACACGCCCTGCAGCAGCAGCTGCATCTATCAGGAGTGTCACCAGAATGGAACATGTGCCCTTGGCTGCATTGATGGTTTTTATGGACACTCTTGTGATGCAAGATGTGGCAAGAACTGTCTTCACCATGGCTGCAGACAGAATTCGTCAACAGGGACATTTGTGTGCAAAGATGGCTGTGTGGCTGGTTGGAGAGGTAGGATGTGTCAACACAGGTGCCCTGTTCATTGCCTGTCGTGCCATCCTGACATTGAAAGAGGGTCCTGTTCATCCTGTGAGCAAGGCTGGAGTGGCATCAACTGCAAAATACCAATCATCAACCACTGTAAAGCTCCCATTGAGGGAGAGAAGTGTACCTCTGGTTGCTCTGACGGATTCTGTGGCTTGACATGTCAGTTGAAGTGTCCAGACTTCTGTCTGCGTTGTGAGCAGGAGGGCAATGAATGCACGCTGTGTCATCCTGGGAGGTTTGGTTCAAGATGTGACAAGTTCTGTAAGGACTGCCAGCAAGGTCTCTGTCGGACTGACACAGGAGAATGTATTCATGGATCTAGGCAACAGGAGGATTATGTGTGTCATCAGCATGCATATATGCTGGGTAAGTACATTGTAAATACAGGGTAGATTTAAATCATTCAGACAGTTGAACCCTTATGATGATGTGCCACTGTTGCAGTTGATTCTAAGCCATGACCTCACCTGCCATACATTCGGGCCAAGTTAGATGATGTAACTGCAGATCTGTCTGCAAAAATATTAAGAAATTATGCATCAACCAGGGAAGTGTGTTTGCTCATCATGTCAAAGACCCAGGATTGATTCCCCAAATGGGTACAATGTGTGAAGCCCATTTCTGGGGTCAACTACGGTAATACTGCTGGAATATTTCTAATAGCGGCGTAATACTTAACTCGTTCACTCTTTTACACCAGAGAAATCACATGAATCTGTTAATTATGTAAATGGAATCATCTGACCTTTGATATCAGCTTCTGATAAATACTAATTGTTGCAGACCAAGGTTGTCAGTGATATAACTGAAATGGGAAAATCAAATATATTTTTAGAGACATAGCACATGTTCACATTTTAAAGACGAAAATCAATTTACCCATATTTGGGAAAAAACAATTAGGACAGAGGTTACACAATAAGCAGGTATTTCATCATGTTCTTTGTTATGTGGAAATAATACATGTGCTACATTGATTCAACAGATTTCAACTCTACCCACTGTGCAAGGCATCACAGGGAAAAGCGGCATATTGTTCAGTGCACAGACCACTGCCAGTCCAGTTCCTGCTCAGTGTGTGACCTCGGTTGGTTTGGTGAGAGATGCACCAAGTTCTGCCCCCAGAACTGCTTTGATGGTTGCAACAAGACAGGAGCCTGCAATGGATGCCATCCCAACTATTATGGAGACAAATGTGAGCTGAAATGCCCACAAAACTGTAGAGAGAGCAGTCCAGGGGAGGTTGTATGTGATGAACAGAGAGGACACTGTTTGGCTGGATGCAAAACAGGCTGGTATGGAGACTCTTGTAATGTCATCTGCCCCCAGAACTGTAAAAGGAATATATGCAATCAATATAATGGCAAATGTACAAATGGTTGCAATCTAGGTTGGAAGTGGAACAGTCATCTGAAAAGATGCTTACAAGAGTCCTTTACCTTTTTAAGAAATGTCAAGCCCAAACATCAACCCTTATCCTGCAGGAACCAGATGTATGGGGAGGGCTGTGAAATAAACTGTTCCACATCCTGCATTAATTCCTCTTGTGAAATCAGTTCAGAAAGAAAAAGTCCTGTGTGTTCATTTGGATGTGTTGACGGTTATCATGGTCAGTATTGTGAAAACAGATGTCCAGCCGGTTGCCAGTCATGTTCTGATAAGTCGGTCTGCACCAGCTGCAAGCCTGGATTGTATGGACAGACATGTTCAGATACTTGTAGCTCTAACTGCAAGGGATGCTGGTGTTTTAAGAATGGCTCCTGTGCCAAAGGTTGCATTGAAGGATATCATGGGCAAGTCTGTGAGACTAAGTGCGAAGCAAACTGTCAGAACTGTGACCAGACGTCAGGGAAATGTTTGAGCTGCAAACCAGGGTGGTGTGGAGGGAACTGTGATGTGTTTTGTGGTGGATGCAAACTGGGCATTTGTGCTGCTGATGGACAGTGTCCACTTGGCTGTAATCCAGGATATGCAGGCCCAATGTGCAATGACTCCTTGTATGAAAGTAAGTAACAGCTAACGTGATAGACTGACTGTTTGATATTCAGTAAGGGCCTGGCTCCCTTTTCTTAAAACAATCATAACACTACAGTTGTCATTTGACAAAGACTTATGACAGTTGCAGTGCAAAGATTGCTTCATGAAACACAGACTTTACTATCACTGTCTCTTACCGTCACTGTCTGTCATTACTGTCACTCCCTATTATTACTGTCACTGTCTCTTACAATCACTGTTTGTTATTACCGTCACTGTTTGTTATTACCGTCACTGTTTGTTATTACCGTCACTGTCTGTCATTTCTGTCACTCTCTATTATTACTGTCACTGTCTCTTACCATCACTGTTTGTTATTACCGTCACTGTTTGTTATTACCGTCACTGTCTGTCATTCCTGTCACTCTCTATTATTACTGTCACTGTCTCTTACCATCACTGTTTGTTATTACCATCACTGTTTGTTATTACCGTCACTGCCTCTCATTACTGTCACTCTCTATTATATTTTTCCTTATCCTGACTCATGCTTAATTGCTTGTCTTCTTTTTCTTGCGAACATAGTGGAACACTTGTATCTCCTAGTTGAAGCTCCCTTCAATGCGTAAAATCACTAATCACTACTCACCAAGAGTTGCCTTCCTTGCCGGTTTTGGTGGGAAATGGCGCCACCGTCTCCAACATGCTTCACTCTCTCCTTCTTTGCCCAGTGAGCAGGATGTGAGAGCGCCTGTGTCTCCTTTCGGCACTTTATCCTTTTATTACTTAGTTAGTTACCTCTACAAGTCCTTTATAGGGGTTTAGCTAGTATCCTTCAACAATATGGTTTGATATTTTATTCGTATTTACCACTGTCAATTCACGGTGTATTCCGTGTTTGTTCAGTAGGTTACGTTCATGAAAATCTGTTCTGTTTGCAAGTTACGTTTTTCTGCTGCTGACCCGCATTTAATATGCCCTAGTTGTACTGTACCATGTTCTTTCAGCTCATGTTGCAGTTTTTGCAATAATTTATCAAATTGTGCATTTAATAAATATTTACTTTGAGTCTTGAGACGTGCAGCAGATAGGTCACGCAGGCTTGATCCAGCCATGGATAATGCTGCTGAGTTCCTCACCGGTCAACTGCTGTCTGATGACCCCCTCCCGTCTGGTGTTCCGCTAGAGTTTCCTCGGAGGGGAGGCGTTGGATGAAGTCTGCCGTCTCCAAGAAGTGACCTACATCGCTAGACATCCCATCATCGCAGTCCAAGACTAGGAGGGCGTCAACCTCTCAACGCAGACTTCGCACCCCTAGGGCAGCGTCTACCACCAAGGGGAAGCCAGCGCAGACCACAAGAACTTCTCAGCCGAGATTGTTCCCGAACAGGGCCTGTACGATGATCAACCGATCATCATCCCTGAGGTTCATCGTAAGAAGCGTCCGGTATCAGCTACGGTGACGTCAGCGCAGATCTCATCTCAAGCCGATGTCTCAACGTTGACGACTGATGATCATCCCGTGGGTCCCCTCGCCATCAATGCAGAAAGGGCAGCGCCTACACCGCAGACCTTCCCGGGCGACTTCATGCAGCAATTCTCCCAGCAGATAATGACCATGATGGAAGAGCGCTACGGCCTGGAGAAGAGCCAACCAGCCCAGGACCTGAGCCTTCGAAGGCTCCAACGTAGACAATGCTCTGGAGGGACCTCCCATCAATGTGACAGCTGCACCCAAGTCGACAACTACGGACCAGCCTGCGTGAAGGTCATCACAGCCAGACCCTACGGAGGACCCAGACGATCAGTGTTCGCGAAGGACCACTAGATCGCCACCTGCCTCAGACTTCGATGATCATCGTTCGCGAAGGAAGAACCACTCATCCCCGGACTCTGGCTCGGACCCGCAGCCTTCGCGAAGGACCAGTCGTCACTCCCCTGATGCGGACTCAGATGAACGTTCGCCAAGGCCTTCGCAAAGGACCCCAGCTACAGTATCCAAGTCATCTTCATCTCGTAGATCGTCAAGGGATTACCCAGCACCTTCTCAAACCTACAGTCGCTCATCTCCGCACAGGTCTCCGTGCAGGTCACCTACAGACGCAGCTCGTCGGGCCATTCTCCACGTCAATCTCCTCGCCGATCTCCTCGTAGATCCACACACAGGTCTCCGTGCAGGTCTCCACGAAGGTCTCCAGGCAGGTCCCCACGAAGGTCACCACGTTGTTCGCCTATCAAGTCTCCGCGCAGGTCTCCACGTCGATAGCCACCCAGGTCACCACAGTCACGCAGGACTCCGCCCCGTTCCCCGTCGGAGGATTATCAACATCCTTTGATCAGCGCTCCTGTTACAGAAGATGATGGAGGCATCATTTTCTCAGACTGGATGTAATGATCTTATGAGGTAGGACGACGTCGACACACTCATGCTACCTCCGATTGATCCCATCGCAGCAGTCCCACAGAATCTGGATACAGCATTCAAGTCAGCCACTAAAGCCCAGGCGCCACACTTACCACAGTTCAACGCCAGGAAGTTCTCCGCCCATAATATGGATCCATTCCTTAAAGCACAGGATATTGATGAGAACTTTAAAGTTATCAGCGATGTCCAGGCCAAGTCATACAAGATTGAAGACCGCAAGCTGGCTCAAGTCGAGACTGACCAGAAGTATGTTCTTCGGACTCAACAGATCTCAGACCATCAACGAAACCCTCATTGCCAAGTTCCATGATTCCACTGCGGAAGAAGACAGAATGATTTACTCGGCCCTCCTTATGCAGAAGGAGGGCCAACAGTTTATGACGGATCACCTTTCATCCATCTCCGCAGCACTAACTCTGGCTCGTCGTCAAGGTCTCCTCGCCACCTGCAGTTGGGGTGAACAGTTTACAACATCACTCTACACAGCCCCGTGGTCAACTCCTTTCATCTTCGCTGGAAAAATCGACAGGGTCGCTAAAGAAGTCACTAAGGATTCAAGAGAAGTCCTCATGATTAAATCTATCGACACTCTCACCAGCGTCATCAGGCAGACGACCCAACGGTACTCAGGAAGATCCAAGTTTCCTGGTCTACAACAAGCACGGGACAGGAAGGTGGCCAGCTCCAGAGGTGGAAAGGACTCTTTTCGCCGCCCATCCGGCAACTACAGGGGAGGATCCGGGATGAGGCAGGGCACCCAGAGGCTCCCGCAACTATCGACGATGAAAGACGGGTTCGGAACGACTGGAGTCTTCCACCCCAAGCCGTTCCTGTACTACCTTCACAAGTGGGTGGACGTCTACAACTCCACTGGGAGAACTGGGGAATACTACAAGATCCTTATGTATCCAAAATCCTACGACACGGATATCGCATCCAACTACGGGCCACGCCTCCGCTGACAGTCAACCCTCTCAAGTTCGACTTCCAGACACATCAGATAGAGAAGTTATGAGAAGCTGTCTCATCTCTCCTAACCAAGAAGGCTATAGAAATCGTGGATCAAGTAAACATCGAACCAGGTTTTTACTCCCCAGTTTCCCTAGTGCCCAAGAAAAATTCCAAAGAAAAGTTCCGACTCATCTACAACATGAGCATGTTCAACAGGGATTATCTACGCAAACCGCCAACGTTCCGCATGATACATCTACCTCAACTAATCCACCTAGTCCGTCCGATGGACTACATGGTCAGTATAGATCTACAGGACGCTTACCTGCATATCCTGATACATCCCGACTCGAGAAAGTACCTCAGATTTACACTGGACGGGCTACATTACCAATGGAAGGTCCTCCCGTTTGGAATATCATCGGCCCCCTGGTTGTTTACAAGAGTAACAAAACCCATAGTCAGCTATCTACATCATCGAGGGATACGCAGTGCATTCTACATCGACGACGGGATTCAAGTAGATCAAGATCCAGAGCGTCTCAGACTACAGTTGAAATTCACCATCAATCTACTGACGCAGCTAGGATGGTTAGTGAATCTACTCAAGTCGGACCTAGAACCTACGCAGGACCTGCAGTTCCTAGGCATCAGATTTCTCACGACGCAAAACCGTATCGTCGTGCCAGAGGACCGATGGCTCAAGATTCAACAGACGATCCCTTAAGCCTTACTCTCTCCATTACCACTACGACAATGGCAGAGTCTGTTGGGTCTCCTCACGTCAGCACAAGACATGACAGCCAGAGGCAGACTACACTTACGCCCGTTACAGGTCCTCATCAACGCTCATCTCGACGACCTACAAACCTTCGGTCTACCGGATCACCTCAGACCTCACCTACTATGGTGGACCCACAGGTCGAATGTTTGCGAAGGCGTCTGTTTTGCAGAGCCGGAATCCACGACTCATCTATATGTAGACGCGTCACTCCAAGGTTGGGGAGCTAATCTCGCCAACCAGACGGCAGCAGGGTTATGGAACAAAGTCTGCACATCAACATGCTAGAGATGAAAGCAGTGATCAACGCCTTACTTCATTTTAGCACCATTCTACAGAATGCGCATCTCATGATACACACAGACAACTCAACAGTGGCGTTTTATATCAACAAGCAAGGCTCAACAAGATCATTGAACCTACTAAACCTCTGCTTTTAACTGTTCGACCTCATCGATGAGCTGAACATACATGTAAGAGCATGTCACATTCCAGGAGCCAAGAATGTATTAGCAGACGCACTCTCTCGGCCAACTCTACAATCACCGACAGAGTGGATGCTCCACACAGAAAACTTCACTCAGATTATCAAGGAAATAGGAGCTCCATTAATAAGCCTATTCGCCACACGCTTCAACAATCAGCTAACAACATTCGTCTCTCCAGTCCCCATCCTGCGGATCCACGATCCATGGGCAGCGTGGGCAATCGGGCGCTCGCTTTTCAGCATATCCTGGGAAAGCCTCAAACGCTGAGCACAACTGCTTTTCTGCACGCCAGCGTGGTTGCAACTACCAGAGCGATCGAATCTACTAGTACATCCTCACACAAAACAAGCGCACGGCAACCCAGGAGCATACCAACTTCACGT